CAAGGGTCCTGCCGTCCTCCAGCTGCTTGCCAGCAAAGATGAGGCGCTGCTGGTCCGGGGGGATGCCCTCCTTGTCCTGGATCTTTGCCTTCACATTGTCGATGGTGTCGGATGACTCCACCTCAAGCGTAATGGTCTTGCCAGTGAGGGTCTTCACAAAGATCTGCATGCCTCCACGAAGACGGAGGACAAGGTGGAGGGTGGACTCCTTCTGGATGTTGTAGTCAGCAAGGGTCCTGCCGTCCTCCAGCTGCTTGCCAGCAAAGATGAGGCGCTGCTGGTCCGGGGGGATGCCCTCCTTGTCCTGGATCTTAGCCTTGACATTGTCGATGGTATCAGACGACTCGACCTCAAGGGTGATGGTCTTGCCAGTGAGGGTCTTGACAAAGATCTGCATCTGCAGAGAATAATCACAAACAGTATGGTGAGCCTCTAGAAGCAGACCAAGCAAACCCACATTATAAATACTAATGCTTCTATACATCTATACATCAAGCAATAGAGAATAGACAAACAGCAGCAGCATATTTTCTTGATGAATTGAACAGAAAAGGCAGTATAATCATCAGAGGAAGATGTACACACATTATTGGGTTAGATAATAAAGAGTTTAAGCAGATCTATCAAGGAGGACGACAGATTTAGTAGAGAAATCATGCATATGAGCAAGCAAACTAACATTACAAGTACGAATGAATTTTATAAGCCTTTATACATCACGCTATAAAGGATAAACAGTGGGCAGCAGCATATTTTCCTCATTAATTAAAGAGGAACTGACAGGCAATGCACCCCAGAAAATCTACAGACATCTTTTATCTAAAGGATTCCACATAGCTGTCGGATATTATCATCATCCAAAAAATAAACCTAGCTTAGAGAGAGAAAGCAATCAACAATCCTAGGACTATAAGTTTAGGACGATCCTGGTACAACAAGAATATGATCACGAGCGACGGATCTGGCACAAGGCAACAAGAATATGAAGACTTCGAATCTATCAAGCAGGAACGGGCGTCCTGGTAGTAGTGGTGAAAACATGCATATGAGATGAGACGGCGTCATGAGTTGGCCCCGAAGACGAACAGATCTACCCCCTGATAAAAATTGCAGTAAAAAACACGACGTCTACAGGCATAACCCCGACGGATTCATCTACACGCATAATTCCTACGAATTCGCACCTATCTAACGATTGATCGGGACAACAAGTTTCGTTCCCGCAACCCCAGATCGGAGCAGAACCGGGCAAAATTCGGCGGTAATAATCCTCCAACTACCAGGGAGACGTGGATCCAGACGGTACGGGGAGAGGGGAAGGGGATCGCCGTACCTTGGGGCGGCGGGGAGGACCGGAGGAAGGGGAGCTGGAGTCGATCGGAGACGAGATTGGCTTGGGGATTTGTTGGTTCCGTTCGTCGGAGCGGTGGTGCGGATTGGATTGCGGGGTGGGAGGTGGGTAGGTATTTATGGCGGCTGGTGACGGGCCGGGGCGGAGAAGGAATCCCGTGCCGTGACGCTCCTTCCTTTCTTCCGCGTCGGTGTTGCTACGTTGACGTGGCGTAATTTTGGCCGTTCACTTCTCGATATCTATATCTATATCTATATCTATATCTATATCTATATCTATATCTATATCTATATCTATATCTATACCTCTATACCTCTATACCTACTATTAAAGGGAATATGTATTCTTGGTTTGGTTTAGTCCTTTTTCCTTGGTTTACACACGCTAAGCGATCCGGCCCAGGTACTTGTATGTTGAAGGGCCTTTTATGGGCTTTCGCGAAAATAATTGGGTCAAAATAAATCAACATTATGGGAATTGAACACATGACCTCATGTCTAACTCTTCGATGTAACAACCAACGACCTATGCGCCTTTCACATTTACTAATCCCAACTCGCTCTAAATATACAAGTGGCAGTCATCATGTTTAGGCGAGCTAATTAAGCGAATGAGCTAATAAAGGAAGGATTGTGGGCTTAAAAAGAATATTTAAACGAGAACTAAATTACAAAAGGAAGGATTTGATTCCCGACTAAAACGAGTGAGGACGTCATGGTAATTAATGAAAGGATTATACTTAAATGTCATTAAAAAAGATTATACTTAAATGGAATCACTGGGAGATTATGCCCGGCAAAGAAAATATGAACACGACTATATTGCAACGTATTTTTCCATGTTCATTTTGTAGAAAGATGCTTTGTTGCAGCATGTTCTTCATAGTGAATCCGGTGCTTTGAGACATTATGCTTGCACAAAACATCAATTTTACCCGTTGCAACGCACGGGCATATGTGCTAGTAAATAAAAAAAAGCTTCTTGAAATAAAATTCCAGCCAGCTAATTTTGACTCGACAGGTTCATATATTTTTTTCTAGCTGTGTTGTTCTGATGCCAACTTTATGGATTTTAGTTTTTTTTTTATCCGTTTAGATCGGTCTGAGACGCGGCATCCCTCCGCGTCCGTCCAAATTTTACCAGTGCGTCGAATCGGCCAACTCATTTCGACCGTCCGACCGAATTTTTTGTAACAAATATGTATTTTCGTGTCTAAATTCAGGTCCAACATCATAGTTCATGTCGGCATACGTGCCAGCGGCCGGCATGCATGTCGGCCTAAAAATCGTAGTAGTCATGTCAGCACCAAAAAAGGCCATAAGTCATGCATCTTGGTCGTAGTTCATGCTGGTACATGCCGTCATACAAAATGATCGTGCTCTCGGCCATAGTTCGTCCGTATAGCTTGAGCATCATCTTTCGCCTCTTCTCGAATCAAACCTTTTTCCTTGGGGACACATTGCTCAAGTTGACCGTCATGATCTCCACTTCCTTCGCCATTAGCGTGAGCTTCACCTTGTTTGCTTTTGTCTTGCAATGTCGTCTCGATCCCGAGCTTCTTCTTTTGAACGTTCTCCTTGATCTCAAGCTTCTTCTTTTATATCTCGATGTAGGTCTTCGTTTGGGCCGATCCCTATTTAGCGCTACAGGCGCCGGTTATTATTGTTTCTGCAAACCGGCACGTGCAGCCGTCCTAGCTGGGCTCGACCCACCTTATTCTTTCTTTCTGTTGTAAGACAAAAAAGATCCCACGCATTCGGTGCGATTCGCGTGAGCTTCACCTTGTTTGCTTTTGTCTTGCAATGTCGTCTCGATCCCGAGCTTCTTCTTTTGAACGTTCTCCTTGATCTCAAGCTTCTTCTTTTATATCTCAATGTAGGTCTTCGTTTGGGCCGATCCCTATTTAGGGCTACAGGCGCCGGTTATTATTGTTTCCGCAAACCGGCACGTGCAGCCGTCCTAGCTGGGCTCGACCCACCTTATTCTTTCTTTCTATTGTAAGACAAAAAAGATCCCACGCATTCGGTGCGATTCGAACCAGCGACCACACTGTTATTCACGTGATGCACTAGCCACTCCAGCGTCTAGCGTTAGTTGCTCAACTTCTGCTTCTTCTCCTTTTGTTCATACGTTTTTCCTTTTTTTCTAGGACGCTGATAACGTCACGCATGTGGGCGTTAAGAGATCTGCCCACACGTTTTGTGTGGTGTCTAAGAGGATCAGCCCACACGCCTTGTTTTTTCCTCGCGGTCCCTCTCACACGCCTATATGTGGGTAAAATAGATATCGCCCACACGCCCGTACGTCAGGACTCCTACCTCATGGTCCGGCACGCACCGCGTGACAGTCACCACGCGCCCCGCAGTTGCCATGGTCCGGACCCTCTTCCATGTTCGTTTAACTGCAGTTGCCATGATTGCTTAACTGTAGTTGTCATCTCAGGTTAAGTGCCAGATGCCATTTTTGGACAACTGCAGCTGTTGCCATGTATGGTCTGGTTTACTATAGTTGACATGATTTGAAAACTTTAGGGGTTGCCACCTACTAACACTAGGCAGTTGCCATGTATTGTCTGGTTTAATACAGTTGGCATGATTTGAGAACTTTAGGAGTTGCCACCTACTAACACTAAGCAGTTGTCGTGTAGCGCTACAAAGAGACATGGCAAAATAAGGTAAAGAGAGAGTTGCCATCTGCTTACAAGCATACTAGGGCAGTTGCCATGTACCCTGCAAAACACAAGGCAACTGACATGTTCGGGTAAAAGAGATAGTTGCCATCTGCTTACAAGCACACTAATGCAGTTGCCATGTACCCTGCAAAACACATGGCAACTGACAGCTTTGGGTGTGGGGAGGAGATGGGGCGTGTGGGCGAACTGATAAATGCCCACACACCAGCCCGTGTGCATGAGTGAAAACTGACGTGTGGGCGAATTGCTAAACGCCTACACACGGGTCCCTCTGTGTGGTGAAAACGGACGTGTGGGCGACCGGATGAATGCCCACACACCAGCCCAGTCCTATATGGCACCACAAACATGCCAAGTTTCATGCAACCACAAACAGACGTGGATACACGTGTGTGGGCGAGATGCAAATGCCCACACGTGTGGGCGTTACCATTTCCGTTTTTCTATTCCTATTCCTTTTTCTCTTTTTTCGTCTTTCTTTTTTATTCGGAACGGTTTGTTCTATTTTTTATTTCCTTTAGTTTTTCTTTTTTTATTCAGAACAATTTGGTTGGTTTTTTAATATTTAATCTTTATTTTCTTTTGCTAGTTTGAGCGAACTTTTTTTTAAAATTGATGAACTCTTCTCGAAATTGAAAAACTCTTTTCAAAATGAACGAACTCTTTTCAAAATCGATGAACTCTTTTCAAAATCGACGAACTCTTTTCAAAATCGGTGAACTCTTTTCGAAATCAGTGAATTCTTTTTCAAAATCAATGAACTTTTTTTTAAAATCGATGAACCCTTTTTCAAAATCAATGAACCTTTTTCAAAATCGATGAACTTTTTTTCAAAATCAATGAACTCTTTTTACAATCAATGAACACTTTTTCAAAATTGATGAATTCTTTTCAAAAATTGATGAACTTTTTTCAAAATCGATGAACTCTTTTCAAAATCAATGATTTTTTCCAAAATCAATGAAATATTTTTTTTAAATCGATGAGCTTTTTAAAGTTTATGAACTTTTCTAAAAATAGATGATCTTGTTCTCTAATTTACCTTTTTTGCAAAATATTTTATATTGGTTTTCCTGCGGTTTTAATGTTTTACAAATGAAACCTTAAGTAGGTATGTTTTCCTAGAGTTTAGAGAAGAGTTAGGACGGTCTAGTGGTTACCGCGCTAAACTGTGAATGATGTCGTATACTTGGTTTGAATCCAGCTATGCCCTATTTTGATTAGTTTCCTTCTTTTTCTTCACGTTTCTGTTTCAGTCAGTTGTTGGGCCGGCCCACTGGGCATCGCTAGCGAGCGCCACTAGCACCGACCGGCGCCTGTTGCGCCGTATAGGAGCTTCCCTTCATTTGATCCC